GAGATCCAAGCAAGCTGTATAAACAAATCCAGTTCCAACTTGGCAGACCATGACAAGAGTTATAGAATGCTTCACATCTCTTGGTTATGCAATCTCACCCTGAGAATTTAGCACAAGGAAATACTTAAAAAAAAAAAAAAAAGAAAGAAAGAAAGAAAAAGAAAAAAACAATAACAACAAAAACCTTGCAGACATAAAATCTTGTGGTAGCATTATACTTAATCCCAGGGGAAGCTGGGAGCCACCTAAAATTTCCACAGCAAACAGCGGAGACGGTTAACATTCCTATTGGTGGACTATTATGTAGGTACTTCTAACAATAAGCATAACAGCTTTATAAATACATGGGATTGTGTTTACAAATTAATGCTGGGTGTAGAAAAATAGGATGCAATATTGCATTTACATGGTGATTATGGCTGGTATGTCTCTGATATAATTAGAGTTGATGAGAAAGAAAGCAAGGAAGAGAGAGAAGAGTGAGGGAAGAAGGGAGGGAAAAGGAGGAAGGGAGAAAATAGAAAATAAAAACAGCTATTGCGCTGTTGTTGTTAGGTGCCATTGAGTCGGTTTGACTCATAGTAACCCTATGTCACTGTGCCATCCTCAGAATCATTGCTATGCTTGATCCTGTTGTTGCAGTCACTGTACCAGCTCATCTTGTTGAGGGTCTTCCTCTTTTTTTGATGACCCTCTAGTTTGCCAAGTAAAAACATTTTCCAACCACGTAGAACTAATGAAGTTTGTGAAAATTTCATTCTTTTAATTCAACTTTTTCATGAACTTTTTGAAGCCCCTTTGCATGTTATTCACTTATGCCTGTCAAATTTCTGCTCGCAGATACTCACCTTTGATTCCTTCGGTTGTCTTTCAGCCAATTATGATCTTGTAACTTTAGTTCCTACACTACATATACAAAATGTTTTCTTCCTCATTTTTAGCAGAGTAGCCACTTCATTCTGTGAATTTGGATGCCTTTCTTCTCTGGACCATCTCTGGACTTTGAGTAACTCTCTTAATTTTGCTTTTACAGAGTATGTGTTTTCACTCTAGGATACTACTTAAAACATGCTTTATGCCTACTTGGCTATATATAAACTTATACTGAATTGATAAGGAGTGAAGAATAAATGAGCTATGTTCATTGCCTCAAGGAACAGCTATATGGGGTTTTTATAAACTTACTCATCAAACTAAAGGAGAATAAATAATAATACAATAAAACATGTCCATTGTGGTTATGTGGCAGCATCAGTAAATAGTTCTTGTAATAAGACTATTTTGTCATTGAAAACAGAAGAGTCTGCCCCCAGCAGTATAATACCCCATTAAAATATATCCCTCAAACATTGTACATATTTTTATTACTAAAAAAACCTCCCCATATTTATAGAAAGAAAAAAAAAATCCACCCATAATAATCACTATGGAAAAAAACCAACTTCAAACAGGAGTTACAAGTCACAAATCACTATACTTTATTCAAAAGCCCAATAAAAATTGAAAACTTAACAACAAACCAGATTTATTGTACTGATTGAGATGGGAGGAGTCCCCATGACTACTTTAAAATTTCAACCGAAATGGAAGGATTCTTCATATCAAGGTAACAAGCTTGTTTCCTCAGTACACTGGTCTAATAGGGACAGGCGATCTAGACATTGGCTTCCATAAATGGGGGACTATAAAGGCACAAAGAAGCTGGCTTATAAGCTTTCATGAATGTGCTTAGTTTCAGAAAGAGGGGAATAAGGTCGAATTCTTTTCCAGATGGATCTGGTGAAAGAGGATGAGGGACAATGATGATAGCATTTTATGATTCAATTGTGAGTCACTGTTAGCAGGATTAACTGTGATTATCACAACTGTAATTGCAGAAGATGTATAACTAAAAGGGGGGTGTAGTTAATCTTTCATTTCAGGAACAGAGGATCCCAGGACCATCAAGAAGGAAGAGCATGTGTGGAGTGTGAGATCCTACCTACAAAAGTGGTGAGAGCAGGGACAGTGGCAGAGGTGATGGCATGGAGAAACAGAGCAGCTGCAGGCTCTAGGCCTAAGGACTGAGTAAGGCTGTGTGTCTTCAGGCAGGAGGCAGACTTGCAGAATGTGCTGTTAGGACATTTAAATGAACATATATTTTTGTTTTGTATGCATACATAAAAATTCTTTACTTTGTTCATTTGTGAAATGTAAGATGTAAGAGAAAAGCCACAGGGAGGAAGTGGGATAACTGCTGTTGTAGGGAGGGGATTGGAATCATTGAGATGAAACCAAGTACATAATTTGTTGAATGTAAAACTGATGATCTTGACTGTCAACCTTCACTCAATTCATGATTAACAGTTGAAACAAAACAAAACAAAAAACTCCACCACTGAATCAAAACTAGCTCCTGAGGTCACTTTTTCACTAAATAAGAAACTGGTTCACAAAATACAGATTATCACACATGAGTATAGTGTTCCTTTAAAATAATTCATCTATATGAAGTCATATACTTAACAATAACATTAAAACAAACATGAGAATGTAAGCAGGCAGGAAAACAAGGTAAATGAAAATAGACCAAAGCAGAAATACTGAAAAATTTCATGGATTGTGAAGAATGCAACCAATGCCACTGAACAATTTGTGCTGAATGAGAATATATGTAACTGTTGTACAAATCTTCAAAAACCTAATAAAATATTAGTTAAAAAAAAACACAAAACATTTTCCAAGAACTGATCCCAGCTGATAACATGTCCAAAAATGTGATTGAAAATGCCATTGCTTAGGTTGAGCACACCCCAGTTCTCAAAGTGATGTCTTTGCTCTTTAACACTTTAAAGAGGTCGTATACAGCACATTTGCCTAATGCAATACGTTGATTGTTAGATTTCTTGAATTCTGCTTCCACGAGTGTTGATTATGGATCCAAGCAAAATGAAATCTTTGACAACTTTGATCTTTTCTTCATTTATTATAATGTTTACTGATCCATTTGGTGAGGCTGTATTCTTTGATCTTCATTAGCAAGCCAGGTTGTATCATCTGCACATTGCAGGTTGTGAATGAGCCTTCCTCCAATCCTGATGCTATGTTCTTTTTTATATAATCCAGTTTCTTGGATTCTTTGTTCAGCATCCAGATTGAATAAGTATGGTGAAAGGATGCAGCCCTGACACACACTTTTCCTGATTTTAAACCATTCAGTGTTTCCTCGTTTTGTTCTGATGACTACCTCTTGGTGTATATACAGCTTCCTCATAAGCACTGACTGTTAGCTTTTATAAAAGGTATAAAAACCCTGTACTCTGGGCTTTCAGCAGGAATCTGTGGCTAGCAGACATAAACTTTGCCGGATTCCTTTTTGCTATCACCTTCTAATAAACACTCTTTTCTATTCTACCTGGGAGTGTGCTTATTGGCTTCTTTTGGGCATGAACCTGGTTTTCAGGGTCAAGCCAACAGACAGTCCTTGGGATAAAGGTGAAGGTTTCTGCTTCTACCTTGGAAACCCTACACAGCATCACTAGAAGTCAGAACCAACTTGACAATACTTAACAACAATAACAATAGATATGGGTCTTGGCATGGAGCTGTAGGATAAACACTAGACTGATAACCAGTGTTTTGAGGTTGGCAGCTCAAACCCCCCAGCTACTCCATGGAAACCCTATATGGGCATATACTTGATGGCATTTAGCAACAACAATAGATATAATTTCATATGTTCTAAGAATTTCACTTATAGGCATTCACCCTAAGAAAATAGGCCTAGTAAAGTGTCTGCCATGTGTACTAAGATATTTATCTCAGAGTTGTTTATGATGAAGACTGGGAACAATCTAAAAATCCAGCAGTAGTTACATAAATTATGAAACACATTCTGTTGTAACAGAACACCCTGGGTCTATTAAAAAGGATCTGATACACCTTTTACAATGATATGGACATATATCTTTATCAAGGGTCTGGAGACTCCTTAGCAGAGTACAATTGCTTAAAGCTATTAGCCTAGTGCCTGGCACAGAGTAGGTGCTTCTCTGCATCCCGGGTCCTGTTCCTCCAAATCTGCTCCATGAATCCATGGGTTGCTTCTTCCCTCTGGTCCCATTCTCTGCCCTCTTCTTGTCTCAAGTCTCCTTCACCTACTGTATTGATGTTGTTGTTGTTAGGTGCCATCAAGTCGATACCGACTCATAGCGACCCTATGCACAACAGAACAAAACGCTGCCCAATCCTGGGCCAACCTCACAATCAACAACCTCACAACCTCACCTGCTCTAAGCCACAGCCAAATTCAGTTTCCTTTTTTCATTGTGGCCCTTCCCACCTCCATCACATTGTCCTCTTATTCAAGAACATTGTCTTTCTACTTCTCTGCCTTCTCCAAGCTCTTCCTTTTCACATGAAAATCCTCTGGTCCTACAGGGTGGGTATCAAATGCCAGCTCCTTTTCAAAGATATTTTCGATCCCTGAGCTGGATGCCATTGCTTCTTCCCTATCCTCGAGGCCACATATCCACCTCTCTCCTGGGATGCACCATGCTCTGCTTGCATAAGAGCTCTCTGCATGTATGTGGCTTGTCGCTTACTAGAGTGGAAGCTCTTTTGGGGAAGGTTCTGCGTCTCATTTATCTGTGCTTTCTTGGTGCTGGCACACATGCAGTAGGTGCTCAGTCTGCTTTGGTTGATGAATGAGGGGGTGAAGGACTAAAGGAAGGAATAAGGGGAGCAGGACAGAGAGAGAGGATGGGCCAAGGTGAATGGCTCCTCAAACTCTCCACAGTCCCTGCCCTGCCCTTGCTGGAGGTGACAGTGGGAAGACAGCCAACACCTCTCCAGGGTGAACAACCTTCAGGCTCTGCTGTCCCTGGGTCCTGCCCTAGTCATAAAATAGTGAAGGCTTCCTCTTCAGGGTTAGGAGGGAGAAGTGGCGTGATTTAGGGGTTGAGCTTTAGTAGTCAGGAGAGTTTATAAACTGGAACAGCACGGCCAGGCACAGACATCTTCCTCATCATCTCCTGCTCTCTGCATCCGTTCTCCCAGCAGCATGGCCTTCAACGGCAAGTATGAGATCGAGAGTGAGAAGAATTATGATGAGTTCATGAAGCGCCTTGGTGAGTGAACTCCTGAGAACGAACACCTTCCTCAGAGCTGGATTGTCACAGCCAGCTTCAGGACAGAAACCTGGGGTCCTCAGTTAGAGCAGGATAGGACTTAATTAATTCAACTATTGATTAGTTAGCTAATTCACACATTGGGTTTCCAAGGAGCAACTGGTGGATTTGAACCACCGAGTTTTCAGCTGGCAGTCCAGTGCTTCTCCTACAACTCCACACCAGGACTCCCTATAAAGATTATAGTCTTGGAAACCCTCTGGGGCAGTTGTATTCTGTCCTATAGAATTGCTGTGAGTCAGAATTGACTTGACAACAAAGGGATTGGGATTTTTTTTGTTTTTTTCCCCAGTGTTATTGATGGGCACCTCAGTGTGACTTGCCTAAGGTCACACTGAAAGTCAGTGGTAGATGTCACATTACCACAAGACCCTATGACAAGGGTGTCACCACTTCCTATTTGGGCAGGGTGACAAGATGCAGAGGACAACGCAGAGGGCTGGTACCCTGCCTCTAAGGGTCACATTTTCCCTGCCAGCAGGCCCAGGCTGAATCACAGGGCCACAAAGCAGGGTCTGAGGGAGGCGGGAGCCCTTTAGAGTCTATTACTGGAAATGGTCCCTCGGGGAACAGAGACTTGGTTTTGTTTACAGAAGTCTAGTATTGTGGAATTGAAAGTCAGCCAATCCTCTGAATCTTGCCACTCTGCCCAAGTAGATGTTGTTCATCTGCTCTGAGATCCAAGGAAGTCCTGCACCACTCTGGGTCTCTGTTTCCTTATCTGTCAAGTAAAAGCCCTAGAAGACAGTCTTGAAGATCCCATTTATTCTGGAACTTTGTGATTTTGGCAAGTACCTGTTCTACTTGTTGTTGTTGTTAAGTGCCATGGAGTCAGTTACGGCCCATAGCTACCCTGTATAGGACTCATGGTGGCCCCATGTGTCACAGAGTAAAACTGAGCTCTGTAGTGTTCTCTCAGTTGTAATCCTTCAGGTAGCAGATTCCTAGGCCTTTCTTCTGAGGAACCACTGGTGGGTTTGAATTGTCAACCTTTCAAATAGTAGTTCAGCACAAACTGTTTGTGTTATTATTGCTTATCTCCCTGTCCAGGGCTCCCCAGCACCGCGATTGAAAAAGGCCGCAACTTCAAGATCGTCACGGAAGTGCAGCAGGACGGGCAGAACTTCACCTGGTCCCAGCACTACCCTGGGGGTCACTCCATGACCAACAAGTTCACCATCGGAAAGGAGTGTGACATGGAGACCATGGGAGGCAAGAAGTTCAAGGTGAGAGGCCACACGTCATGCTCCCCTTCCCCAGGCCTCTGGCTAACCGCTCCATCTCAAAGGTGTCTTCCCTGCTCACCATCCTGAGACCTCTTCCTCTAGTCTAGTCTCCAGCACTGAGAGCTTGACTTACTTGGTAATTTAACCACCTGGCTCCAGTCAATAATGCAAGTCCTGGTGTGGCGCTGTAGGATAAGCTCTGGACTGTTAACCACAAGGTTGGCAGTTCAAACCTCAGAACCAGCTGCTCCTCGGAAACCCTATACAGGGACTCTATGAGTCAGAACTGACTCAACAACACACAAGAACAACATTTACTGAGCACTTCATATTGCCTGACACTTGCTAAATATACATTTTAATGCAGTTAATAGTATGAGGTCACTACTACTGTGGCTTCTGTTGTTAACAGCTGCCGAGTTGGCTCTAGCTCATGGGGATCCTCTGAAATGTTTTCCAGTTCCGTCATCTTCATGACCTTGGGTGTGTCCAAGCACATGCTTGTGGCCACTGGGCCCTCCATCTCATGGACAGTTTCCCTGATTTTCACTGATCCTTTACTGTACCAAACAGATGGTCCTCTTCATGGACCCCTGGTGCCACAGTGGGTCAAGCACAGAAGAAAGATGAGGCTGTCTGCTCCCATAAGTATTATGGTCTGAGAAACCATATGGAGCAATTCTACTCCATTCTGTAGAGTAGCTGTAAGTTGGAATCAATTCAATGGCAGTGGTTTTTTGTTTGTTTGTTTTTTTAAATATCCTTTTGTAGCCATTGGTCTCTCCTGGTGACATGTTCAAATAAGTGAGCTGAAGTCACATCATCATGTCTAAGGATCATTCTGGTTGTGTTTTTTTTTTAAGACTGCTTTGTTTGTTCTTTTGGCCACCAAACCAAACTCAGCTGTATCATCGATTCCAACTCACAGCAACTCTATAGGGGAGAGGAGAACTGCTCCATATGGTTTCTAAGACTGTAAATCTTTATTGGAGCTGACAGCCACATCTTTCTTCATATACAGCCTCATTTCCTCCACACGGTGGTTGCTGAGTTTGAACTGCCCACCTCGTGTTTAGCAGCCCAGTGCATAACCCACAGGACCACCAGAACTCTTTACTCCTCTGGCAGTCCACAGTGTATTCAATATCCTTGACAATATTACAATTTGGATGCATCAGTTCTTCTTTCTCCTCTTTCTCCCCACACACCCTGAACCCCTTCCAGTAAGGATGCTGCTTTTCTACAATGGACATCAGCTTTTACAGGTGACTGAAAAGACCCTGGATTGGGCTCTAATCATTATACAACTACGACTCCACGGCATATAACAACAACAACAACAACAATTCCCATTTTGGAGCTCTGGTAGCATAGTGGTTACGAATCAGGCTGCGAACCGCAAGGTCAGCAGTTTGAAACTACCAGTTGCTCCACGGGAGAAAGATGAGGCGTTCTGCTCCCGTAAAGATTTACAGCCTCGGAAACCCTGTTCAGGGTCACTATGGGTTGAAACCGACTTAATGGCACTTAACAACAACAACAACATTCCCATTTTAATGATGGGATTAAGAAACGTGTCCCCTGGTTACATAGCTGGTGAGGAGCAGGCCTCCCACCCTGGCGGCTGGTTCCAGTGAGCATAACCACTTTGTTATGCCAGTCTCCCAGTCTAGCCTTGGAGTCAGGTTCAGCTGGGTTTGAAGCCCTGATGTCACACCCACAATATGTGGCCTCTGACAAGTCACTTCACCTTCCCCAGCCTTAGCCCTCAGAATGCAGAATGGGTCTAGATGCAGACTCTGACCTCAAGAACCTTGGTGAGGATTAGACAAAATAGACTTTCCATAGAAAATACATACCACGGTGCCTGCCACATAGGAAATGATTGAAAACAAAACAAAACAAAAAATTGCTTTTGTTTTATAGGTGAAGAAACTGAAACTCATGAAAGCAATGTGCTTAAGTTCCTGCAGCCAAGTGGGCAGATCAAGGTTAGACAGCTCAGGTTGTCTCCACAGTGTGCTACTTCTATAGTGTACAGCCAGGCCCATGATTAAGTCAGCCTGCTGAGACTTTTCAAAAGAAGGTGCTAGAATGCCTTGCTAGGCCGGCCCTCAGCCAACACATGCATTTTCTGATTTTCCCAGATTAGTGTCTTTTGAGCAACAGAAAAGTAAAAGGTAGCCGTCTGTCCCTACCCCAATCCCTTGGATTTTCCACTCATTCTGAGTCCCTCTGCAGACCCCAACTGTCAATAGGAGTGTACTTTGCTCTTCAGACTGTTAAAATGAAGAATAATTCATCATAATGCTCATATTTTGCATGTGGGATTAAAAAAAAATTTAGCAATCTCCCACTGATGTGTCTACATCAATACATATCAATTTGTCTTATTCTTTTTAATGGCTGCACTGTATCCTGTAGTATGGATATGCTTTTATTTACTGAGCCCTTCCTTGATGGGTATTTAAGTTACTCACTATTGGATAACCTCGGTTAGGTGTTACAATGAATGCTGCAATCAATACATTCTTGGATTATTTTAGTAGCATCATTGCAATGGTGACTATCAAAACTCAACACTTAGGAATGCTTACCACACCCAAGCATTGTGCTAAGCACTTTATGTATATATGACAGAGCTTCAAAACGTTTGTGCAAAGTCTCCATTATTTTTTCATTCTATTTTTATCATGAAATTTTTGAAGTCCCTTCATATATATACTTTTTTTTTTTGACCCTTCTTCCCATTTTTTCCCCTCCCCAAGCCCTTCCTAATTTCCTTATATCTCCATGAATTTGCCTACTAGAGATATGTCTCACAAGTAGAGTCCTGCAATGTATGTCCTTTTGTGCCTGGCTTCTTTCATTGACCATATTTTCAAGGTTGATCCATGTCATGGCTTGTATCAGAATTTCAATCCTTTTAGCCACTGAGTAATATTCCATTGTGTTATCATGAGTTGGGATCGACTCAATGGTAAGCAGTTTGGTTTTTACTATTGTTGTGTGCCGTTGAATTGGTTCCAACTCATAGCAACGCTCTATAGGGTTTCTGGAGCTGTAAATCTTTTTTTTTGTTGTTGTTAAGTGCCATCGAGTCAGTTCTGACCCATAGCGACCCTGTACAGGGTTTCCAAGGCTGTATATCTTTACGGGAGCAGAAAGCCTCATCGTTCTCCATTGGAGCGACTGGTAGTTTCTAACTGTTGACCTTAAGGTTCACAGCACGATTCGTAAATCTTTATGGGAGCAGAAAGTCTCATTTTTTCTCTTGCGGAATGACTGATGGATTTGATCTGCTGACCTTGCGGTTAGCAGTCCAATGTGTAGTTCACTATGCCACCAGGTTTATATCAAGAAAATGGTTTGGTTTTGGTGGATAAACAACACCACGTTTTGTTTATACATTCATTTTTTGATGGACACTGGGTTGCTTTGTACACTGGTATACAAACATTTGTTTGAGACCCTACTTTCATTTGTTTTGGGTATATGCCTAGGAATGGAATGACTTATATTTAATATATTATTTAAAGTCATTTAACTCTCACAACTCTATGCAGAAGGTACAATTATTACCCCCATTTTAGAGATGAGAAAATTGAAGACCAGAAATGGTAAGTGACTTGTCGAAGGCTTCAAAAGATTCATGGAAAAATGGAATAGAAAGTTAACGGAAAATTTCCATGAACTTTCTGAAGCCCCCGTGTATATTGCTGGGATGCTATAATTATATTATTTACAAGGTAAGTTTATTGGAGTTGTGGCTGAGGGTGCAGGTGGGCCCTTCATTGTTGAGGGGCTGGTCTGTGTTAAGAGACTTGCTTACTGAGCTCAGTGGTGTACTTCCCTTTCAGGCTACTGTGCAGATGGAGGGTGAGAAGGTGGTGGTGGACTTCCCCAACTATCACCAGACCTCAGAGATTGTGGGTGGCAAGCTGGTGGAGGTAAGTATCCTGCTGGCTCCTGGATGATCGAAACACTTCTTTCCATAGCCATGGACATCCTGGGTGCCTCCCTCCACTTCCCTCCTCCCCCACTGAAATAGAGTGCATTCTGTAAACATTGTTCCTCCAGCCCACCCTCAGCAGCCCTCACCATGCTCTCATCACCCCTCTTCCTGACCAAGTCCAGCCTTGCTTTTGCCCTCTACCGCCACTCTCTATTTTCTATGCATCCTCATTACCTCACCTGACTCCCATTTGAAACTGCCTCCTCAAGCCAATGAATCAAGCTGGGAATCCTCAACCTGAACTTCAGGACCACATTTCCCTTTCCCCTAGACTGGGTTTGAGATGAAGAGTCAAGGAAGGCAGGTGTGCTCTCCTCATCCTTGCAGACACCCTCTGTCCAGTTCCCTGGATTAGTCATTCATTGTTCCTTTCTCAACTCCCTTTCGTTGTCCATGACCTCTGATCAGAATTCTCTTTTCTCTTGTTTGCTTTTCCAAATCTACTTATTCTTCAGGATTATGTCCAAATGTGAGTTCCCTCTCTGATCAGAATGGCTTCCTGTTTCCTCTGGGTTCTCCCACACCTCTTGGTTTGCCCACATACCCAGTACCCCTTCTAGTAAGAATGCTGCTTTTCGACAATGGGCATCAGAACCAACTGATGACATGTCTCAATGGCATTGGGCCCAAGGTGCTGCACTCAGCTGGTCTTCAATGAGCAGCATCCCTTGCCTGTCCCTTCTTCATCCTTAGACTTCCTGAGGACATGGCGCATATCCTCCCATCACCAAGCACATAACAGATTCCCATAAACACTGTGTGGTGCAATGGTTGAGGGTGGCCTCTAGACCTTGGGAAGGTGACTTGACTTGTTTAAACTTCAGTGTTCTCCTCTGTATAATGAGAGCACTCTCGTAGACTTGTTGGGAGGATCAGATGGGATAATACAGGAGAAATGTGTGGCATGGGTGAGTTTCAATGGACAGCCAGGTGGAACATTATCTTACCGATGCTCACATCACTGCTGACCGCTAATAGTACTTTTACCACTTGGAGTCCACACAGTGATTCAGAAATAGACTGGGAAACTGAGGCCCAGAGAAGTGGTGCAACTGTCCCACAGCTTCTCAGAGTTGGGGTTGGAGTTCATCTTTCTTCGGTTTTGCCCACTGGCTGTGTTGGGGTCCCTGCCTGAGAATTGAACACTGACTCTCTCTATTCTGGCTGCTTCTTTCAGATTTCCACCATCGGAGGTGTGACCTATGAGCGTGTGAGCAAAAGGCTGGCTTGAGCACCAGGTCAAAGCCCATGGGGGCCTAACTGTAACTAATAAAGCTGGTCTAAGAATATACATTCTGCTCACCAAAGTATTTTTGTTTTTCGTTTTCTGGTGTCTTGGGGCAACTTCTGGAAGGTGGGAGTAAGAACCATGAGGATGGTCACATGGGCCACACTTTAGGCCTGAGTTCCTGTGGGACATGTAGAGGGAGACAGGAACGTGGGTGGGCTGGACAGCCCTCAAGAAGCAGGATGAGCTTTCTTTTGGGGACCCATTGCTACACCCTGCCATCTACTGTTCTGTCTGAGATCATCCATGACCCTATGTTGTTGATGGCTACTTTAGAGAGACACATCACCTTGTTGTGGTGGGCCTCAGGAGGCAGGCCAGGACTCTCGGTGTGGACAGGAGTGGTACCTCCAGGGAAGCGTGCAGCTTCAGGCTCCCAGGCCTAGGACATAGACACTAGGACAGATACCCCCGGGCTGAGCTCAGGAAGGTGTTTTAATTTGGCTGTGGGATTTTAAGCAACACCCAGTTTACCCACTGGTAGAACCAGTGATGGTCTGAAAGGAAGTGATTGTCACTAAGATGGCAAAGAGGCAATGGCAATGATGGCAAGAAACTGATTGAGTTTCTGCTTTCAAGTCTTTTGGGTAACTATATACCTGGAAGCGAAGTCACTACATGGCATATATTGTTTTAAATCATGTGATTTTCAAAATTCTATGAGACAGGTCCAAGTGGTATCCCATTGTGTTGTTGCTATTGCTATGTGCTATTGAAACAGTTTGAAATCATAGTGACTCTGTGAAGGATTTCTGAGGCTGCAAATCTTTATGGAAACAGAAAGTTACCTCCTGAGGGGTGCCTGGTGGGTTTGAACTGCTGACCTTATGGTTAGCAGTCTAGTGTTTATCCTACAGTGCCGACACTTCTATCCCTATTTTGTTGTTATTGTTGCTAAGTGCCTTTGAGTAAGTTCCGACCATAGCGACCCTGTATAGGGTTTTCAAGGAGCAATGGTGGGTTTGAACTGCCCACCTTGTAGTGGAGCACTTATCCCACAGTACCACACTAGCAAGCACAGAGAAGTTATGGGATATCCTGATTTGGACTAGTAGGGCTTGGATAGGGACTTGGGAGGAACATCAAGAGGCTGTGGTGGGCTGGGAGAGCTGGTTGGACTACACCTTTGGTAAATACCTGGAGCACTGGGTTGAGAAGCATTCTGAGGCAGTATCTGGGTCTAGCAGATATCCTGTGACTGATGACTATATCTGCTAGGGCATGGGAGTGGAAGACAATGACCTGTTTGCCTTCCTTGGCTAGATCATATCTAACCCAGCGCCCTGAACAGGTCTTTTCCCATCTGCCTCGCTCCTTGAGCACTTGGTTACATCTGTCAGCCACATTGACTTCTTTTACTAACATATTTCTGTTGGGCAAGTCACTTTTTACTCCAATGGACACCTTACGTTACTTCTGTATGTGGAAATCCGTTATCATTTGACATAAATAGGTGAAAATCATTTTGAAAAATCCAAAGCAGGACAATGTTGATTTCTAGCTAGAAAGCCTGGATCCTGTGGCCTCCTTTTGTGAAAAGGGTGAGGAAGATGGAAAGCCACAGTAGCATCAAACTGCCTGATAAAAAGAACCGAAGAAAGCACCCACGAGGAGAGGTGAATGATTCAAGGCAGAATGTACTTGTTGTGTTCCGTCATTTCTGACTCATAACGACCCTGTATAGGGTTTTCAAGAGGGACTGGTGGGTTTGACCCACCTACCTTACAGTAAGTGTGGTTAGCAGTCTAGTGCTTATCCTACTAGGCCATGCTTTCAAATATCAGATGTGAAAGTGCCACATATTGGTATAAGAAATAAGGTTTTCCCAGAGCCTTGTATAGGGTCAGGCACACAGCAGGCACTTCATAAGTGGAAGGCCCTTCCACTGTGTCACCTATGGCCTTTCATTCTCAGAGCCAGCTTTGGCCTGGACAGATGGAGTAGTCCAACTCATTGGCAAGGCACTCCTTGCTTTCCCCAACATTCTGCCCCCAAATCTTGTTTATTCTTCCAAGAACAGCACTCAATCTCACCCTGCCACCCCAAGCCAAGACCCCATGAATTCCATCATTTTGCCAAGACTTACTGCTAATTAAGTGACTTAGGTAATCATTAAATTAAACTAGCAGAGTTGCCGTTTCCCCTCCAGACTGAATAATTATTCATAATGAGTTTGGATAATAAGTCTCTGAATAACAGAGAGTTAACCATTAATTAGGCTGAAAATTGGGAGAGAGACAGAAAAGACGAATGAATGAGAGAGATTGTATTTACTCGTGAGATAGATTCAAGGACTAATTCAAATTTTGGGAAGGGTAGAATTCTTAAGTCAGCATTGTTATTCAGGGACTCAAAGAATTTCAGGACTTTAGAGTTCAATGATGTAGATCCTGTGTTTCAGAGATTTGGAAATCCCGGTTCAGAGAGAGGAAGGAATTCACCAGGGGCCACATAGCACAGGGTGAATCTCTGAGTAGTGTGGGGCTAGAGATTCTCAGTCCAGTTTATGAGGGTAATGGAGACAGGGGATCTGGGTTAAATGTCTTTCTTACCAGCAACTGGGCAGGGAGGCTTCCTCAGTTCATAGAACTCTTAACCCACTTGGGAACCAACTCGATGCACTTAACAACAATTCAGGCTCTTCATGACCACCACCTCAAACCTTGATAGTCACCTCTTCCAACTCTGCCAGGGCACTCCCTTCACTTCAAGCACATTTACCCCTGGTGAAGGTGGGGGCTGCCCAAAGTAGTTTTAAAGATGACCACTGTTGTTGTTGTTAAGTGCCGTCGAGTCATTTCCAACCCATAGTGACCCTGTATAGGGTTTCCACGGAGCAGCTGGTGAGCTTGAACCACCAACCTTGCAGTTCAAATGACTTTGCAGTCTGATGCATTAACTCACAGCACCACACCAGGACTCCAAAGATTACCACTAGGTGGTGCTCAATTACCCTAGATTGCTGCCCTCCTTTTCCCCACCTTGGTGTGGGGGTGGGCAGTGAACTGCTGAAAGAGCCTTGGTGGTGCATCCCCCTTGATGGTTATATGGTTGTTGTTGTTAAGAGCCGTCCAGTCTATTCTGACTCATAGTGACCCTGTATAGGGTTTCCAAGGAGCAGCTGGTGAACTTGAACCACCGACCTTGTAGTTCAAACTACTTTGCAGTCTGACACATTAGCCCACAGCTCCACACCAGGACTTCATGATTACATGGTATGGTTAGTCAAATGGGCTTCTCAGTCAGGCATTTTTAAGTTGGACCCCATTCCCACCACTTACCCATGATGATAAGGAACTCTGGTAGCGTAATGGTTACGAGTTGGGCTGCTAACTTCAAGGTCAGCATTTCAAAACTACCAGCCATTCCATGGGAGAAAGATGAGGCTTTTTGTTTGCATAAAGATTTATAGCCTTGTAAATCCTATGCAGGGTCACTCTGAGTCAGAACCAACTCCACAACACAAAACCACCACCACCACCACCACCCATGATGACCAAGAGGCAGTCACTCAACAGTACATGGGGACACTGAATGGTTTAAAATGAAGAAAGGTGTGTGTCAAGGTTGTATTCTTTCACTATTCTTATTTAAGCTGTATGCTGAGCAAACAATCTTAAAAGCTGGATCATATGAACAAGAATGTGGCATCAGAATTGGAGGAAGACTCATAAACAACCTGCGATATGCAGATGATACAAACTTGCTTGCTGAAAGCGAAGAGGATTTAAAATACTTACTGATGAAGATCAAAGACTACAGCCTTCAGTATGGGTTGCATCTCAAAGTAAAGTAAACAAAAATCCTTACAATTGCACCAATAAAAAATATCACCCACAGCGTCATACCAAGACCCTTTTAGCTACACATCTTCTACAATTACAGTTGTGGCAATCACAGTTATTCCTGCTAACAATTACAACCGAATCATAAAATCCTATCACCATCATCCTTCATCCCCTTTCACCAGATCTATGTGGACAAGAGGAAAACAATTCAGTGGGGATTCTATCTTACCCCCTGCATTTCAAACTAAGTGCATGTATGAAAACTTATAAGACAGCCACTTTGTGCCTTAATAGTCCCTCATTTTTGATAGCCAGTGTCTAGATTGCCCATCCATATCAACCTGTAGCTGAAAACCTCAGGGTCAGCAGTTCGAAACTACCAGCTGTTCCACAGGAGAAAGATGAGGCTTTCTGTTCCCATAAAGATTTACAGCCTCGGAAACCCTGTACAGGGTCGCTATGAGTTGGAACGGACTCCATGGCACACAACAAGAACAACATCAAGCCAGTGCACTGAGGAAACAAGCTTGATCCTTGATATGAAGGCTATATATTTCCAGTTTGGTGGGAATTTTGAGCAATTGCATCCATAAACAAAGGACCAGTTCATCAAATTGTAGCGATTTATGCTTTCTCACAGTATGAAACTTCTTTATCTTCATCTGGTCAAGTTGTCATTAGTTAACCATCCAAGCTAGGTCAAATGGGTGCTATCTGCAAGTTTGAAGATTCATGCACACTTTCTTTTTATGTGACTGCTTTTCTAGCATACTAATATTGAGAGATTCATCTAATTCGGGCTTCCATTGCTTTGAATCTACTCCAATGCCCTTTCTATTTTTGAAATCCTAGTATTAATCTTTTGGATTTCTAATGACTGGTTTTGTATTGTTTCAAAAGGGCATTTATTTTGTCTGTTCTTGTAGTGTTTTCCTAAATTCTTATAAAGTTGTTTCTGTATTCTCCCTGCTTTCCTCAATCTTTCTGTCAATTCTTTGAAGTTGTCAACTATCATTCTTTTGAATTCTTTTTCAGTTAGTTCCATTACCTTTCCTTCCTCAGTAACATTTTTTGGCTCTGCATGTTGGTCATTTGTTTGAGCCACTCTTTCTTGAGCTAAAATTATCCATTTTCTCTGAAACATAGTGATGCTATATTTGTAT